ACTTGGCCTGCCCCGACTGGCCGAGATCAGCACCCTGGCCAAAGTTAAGTGCCCGCGTCCCCCTGCCCGCCCTCTGCCTGCTGCGGGCCCGCTGCTCACCCTCCTTCTTCCCCACAGTGGTCGTTTGTTATAGATGATAAAACAATCTTGGCTTTCCCATTCATAGATTAGCTTTTTGCATCACAAGTATTTTGATATGGTACAATTTGCACTTACTTTTAACTGCCTTGTATAGTGTAATGCCAGTTTATGTATGCACTGTGTATTTCATATGAATAGTAGTGTGATAAATATATCGTAGGCTTTAGCAAAATGTTAAAATAGAAACTAAAATACTTCTATGTAACTAACTCAGAGAATGGTGTAAAGCAGTTATTGTGTTTCTTGTATCTGAGGACTGGCCCTACTAAGTGGTAAGATAACAGTGACAAAACCAAAGCATAAGTATCCAGGAAGATTTATCGACTCTGTCCGCGCTGTGTTACATCTTAAACCCTAAAAACTCCTCTTTGGACCCCTTCTGCCAAGCTGGTAGGGTCTGCTCGGACCCTTGGAGCTGTCTGCCGGCAGAGAGTGTTGTTTCATGTAAAGGGGATTACCTTCAGTCGGCCACACCGTTGTTTTCCTGTTGTTCAGTAACTAAGGGATCTCAAAGCTTGCTTCCATTTCAATCTCGCTTTTAGTTTCTATAGTCTCAAAATCTTTTGCCCGGCAATCATATTTATAAGGCTTTCCTGTTTCATCTTCCCCAACATCTCCCCCATTCTGATGAACAACTAACATATTAGACACTGTTTTACTCATAATTCTTTGTACATGCTGAAGTATACAGGGTGCTGCTACTAAAACTACAATTATTACTATTAGAACAATCAAGCCTATTTTACAGAGTTCCTTTAGGCAAGGTGCAAAAGCTCTGACCATCAAACAAACTGTCTAGCCAAGATAGGCCACCTATTGTAATTTGGTTAGCTAAAGCCTTTAGGTTCTGTAGCTGTTTATGAATGGAAGCAGAATGATCAGATAAGTTCATACAACATAATCCTTCAAAATCTTCACAACCATGCCCGTGTGCTAGTAAAAGAAAATCAATGGCAGCTCTGTTTTGTAAAATGGCATGTCTGACTGCTTCTTCATCTGTCAACAAATCACTGATTGTAGTAGAGGTGGTATTTACTTCTCTGCTGAGCCAACACCCTAACTTGTTTAAATGTGTCAGTGCAGCTGAGGAACCCCACTGAGGTAGAAAAATGCTTGCAACAACTGATTTTCCAGAGTTCCAAGAGTGAAAATTGCTATCACAGTTGCTTTCATATTGATGTCCCCAGGAGGATCTAATCTTTCTGCTTTTCTTTTTGACTTTGTCTCTTTGACACTAGGAGCAGTTATTTTAAGTTGTCCCAAGGCACAAGGGCCACCATCTATTTTTGAGGGTATACCTTGCCAGGCCCTGTCTCCACAGATAAGCCAGATTCCTCTAGGGAATCGAATTGGAAGTTTGTTAAAATGATCTGCACAAGGTGCGTCATACGTAAGAAGCTTAGTTTGATTGCATCAAGAAGTCATACTGCTATAAGCTGTGTGATATGGGATAATGTTTAAATGAGGGCTGTCTTCTCCTAGGAAATGAAAGAAGTAACAAGTATCCATAGCTAATGAGCCTAGGATTTCTACCTCTTGAAGACCATATTTATCAGCTTTAGAATTATCAATATAACTTTGGTGTTTCTGGCTGGGAGTTGGAGATACATGCTGATCATCATATCGTCAATATTTATCAGGAGTAACATTATCAAAACCTTTCAGGAAAGGTACTCCAACTAGACAGGTTGAAAAAGGTTTGTCAGGGCTTGTGTCAGATAGACAGATGGTATCGGAGCCTGCAGACCTGGCTAAAGCAACGCAGACATTCATATTTGGTTGATTTACAGGTAAAGCTTCTCTTTGTGCTGCCTGTGCAGCTGCTTGCGCTGTTTGAGCTGTAAAAGCCCTTTCAATTTTTTCTCCTAGAGTTTTTCCGAGTTCTTTTGCCTGGATAATTGTTACTTGCTGTGGACTCTCAATGTTGTTACACACATCAATAATTTCAGGCACTGTGGGTTTTTCTTTGCCTAGGGCTTTGATAACTCTTTTACATTCGGCATTGGCATTATTTTCAGTAATGTCCCGTATCATTATTGGGCGAGCTGTATCATCGCCACATTGTCTTTCTGCTGCTTGGATTACCTGGTCCACAAATGTGCTAAATGGTTCAGACAAGTCTTGGCTAATCAGATTATAGGCTTTTTCAAAACTTCCTGCAGGCTAAATTTGGAAAAAGGCTCTGCGAGCCATCTCTTGAATGTCATCTAACGCTGTTTTGGGTAAATTCACTTGATTATCATTCTGATCATCAGGAGGGTCACCAGTCATCTTAGACATGACAAGGGTATGAAGGTCTGCATCAGTACTTTGTCTATAAGTGGCTAGTACCCTTGTAAGCAGTCTTTTCCATTTGAGTTCCCATATCATATATTGTGAGTCTGTGAGAATTTTACTAGCAAAATTTTTACAGTCATTTGGTGTGAGTGTATGTCCTTCCAGGGTACTTTTTAGCAGTTGCTTAAATTATGGGGAGCAGATACCACTGTCCCTTATTGCTTTTCACAATTCTTTTATCTCATGAGGTGGGATAGCCATCCCAGCCCCGGCCCGCTCCTCACCGCCAGTGACCCAGCGCCCGGATCATCCCCCACTTTACGTGAGCTGAAGCGCGAGGGCTCGGTGGGTTGGGCCGCGGCTCAACACAGCTGCCGCCGTGAGGGCAAGGGCGACAGGACTCTGGGCCGGGGGGGGCCCCCAAATGGCACCACAGGAGGCAGCACAGTGACCGCAGATGGCGTGCTCGGCGTTCACCAATGCCGACGTGAACGCTTTCACAGGTTGTGTTGGAGGAGTCCATTTTATTCTGTATTACATACACAGAATTGCCAGGTATTACTATAACTATGCTTTTGTCACAACTCAGTGATTTCATTGCACCTTTCTGCCATATTCTGACCAACTTCCATTTAACCTGACAGCCAAAGACGACATCGACCTTTGAACACGAATTGGTGTAGTGGTATGGTCTGCACTGCTGTGGCAGAAAACGTTTCTTTTCCCGCTAAAGTGTGTCCAGAAATCTTTTTAGCATATAGATGAAATAGCATGTTCTTAATACTGTATTTAGTACCTTTCTTAAAACACCTTGCAGCACTGGTCTTGAGCTGGTTTATATTCACTCCAACTTCTACCACACTTGATCAATAAAAATAGCAAAAGCTGGGACTAGGCGCAGAGAATCTTTAAGTTCGTGTCAAATACTGGTCATACCAAAGAAGTGTTACAAATGTTGTCAGAAACAAGCTAACTGTTCTCATAATGGTGTGCCCTCACTCTACTACAATGTGTTTGCTTTAGGGCACAAATTGAAACAAAGTCAAGAATACTCACAAGAAGGCAAATCATCTTTGTGGCATAATATGTGTTCAGTTTAATTTACATTAGGTACCATCCAAGTTTCTTCACAGAGTGTAATTCCACATTCCTGTATCGCCATGGAGGTGCTCATCATCCTTTGACCCATTAAGAACTGATGCCACTGCAGTTGCCAGTTGGTGCCTTACATACTCAACACTGGAATTTCCAGCTGTAAAATTTAGTTTTAATATGACATCAGTTATTCTGGCTTTTAAACACCAAAACATTTTTGTCACAGAACTCACTAAATAATTTTGAAGTCATTTACAGTGAACTGAATTCGACTTTTGATTATAGCGTGCTAATCTGCAATAATTAAAAGAACAACTGCAATACTACCAAACAGGTAGAAATACTGTGCAAATTACACTGCTAATAGTTTAAACGTGCAGATAACATGTTCTACAAAATTTTTGTATAAGTTTTTTCCCAGAAAAGTTTCTCAAAGCAAAAAGAAAAAAATATTTTGTCAATAATTTTAAGCTAATTTAAGTAGCTCAAAGGTTCTTTGTTTTGTTGAAGTGCCAATTCTGAACATATAACTGTAAAAGAAAAAGATATATGTATTTATGTATATACATGTATTCCTGGACATTAAATTCTCCTTTGACAAATAGTTCATGTAATAAAGGGCGTGATGGTCCGGCAGGAATAAGTAAAAACAAACAAACAAACAGAAAACCAAACAAACCTCTCCAAAAAAAAAATCAAAAAACAACTTATCTGGAATTAATCCAGATAAGCCATGCCCCTTCACAGCCAGCACCAGTCTCTTCTACTAAAAACTGCATGTGGTATGGTACTTACCTAACAAAAATCAAAGAGAGGGGAAAAAAGAAACAGGCAACTTCAAAAAGGGAAAAAAACAATCCAAAAAGATACAGAGAAAACTTCAAGTGTTATAAAAGAAATCAAGCCTTGTGGTTAAAATACAGAAGTGGAGTTACTTAACAGACACCTCTGTTCTATTAATGATGTAATATCAGTTTCCTTTTGAACTGGCACCTTAAGGACGGGAGACAAATTTCAGTTACAACAGCAGTCAAAATTTTTCTATAAAGCTAGAATTTCAAGTCATCAACAGATATTTTAAGGACAAAGTAAGTCCTTGTGGACAGGAATCAAAATCCAAGTACTTATTAAAAACTGTCTACTGAATTTTACCTCCAGATATGCCAGATTCTTTAACTGTTATTGTGACTGAAAACAGCATTAAGGTATTCACATTCTGAGCAGACAACAATGAAAAAGAATCATACCAAAAAAACTCACCAAGATTTCCTTTGTATGCAATACCATGCTGACCTAATAAAACTCTAAGTTTTTTTATTTCTTCAGAAAGTTGCTTGTATTCCTAAGAAAGAAAATACATTAAAAATAGCCCTTCCACTTTTCAAATACATACCTAGATTGGGAGCTTTTAGGAAAAAAATGCCTCTCTGCACAGCTGTTACATCTCTCGGCTTTGAAGAACTTAAAATGCTTGTTTCAGGAACATAGGGCAGATTTTAGAAAAAGATACATGTCTGTGTTGCCAAAAGAGGAACCAGCTTTTTTCAAGCCCAAGAGTAAAAATTAGAAATGCTTTCTGTAACTATTTCAAATCTGTCTTGTAAGTAGCATTTTATCACAGAACAAATCTTAAGTTTGCCTCAGGACTACCCTTATTTTATAATTATTGTAATTCTGCCATCTGGAAATTTGTACATTCTTCAACTCTTGGCCTAGTAACTTCATGTTCTTGCTCTCAGCAGTTTCTGTTACCTTACAGACAGGGATTGCTTAGTTCCATTGAGATTCAAAGTATGTCCCTGAAATCTCAGAGAAGCCCCTATTTTTTGCTGTGTTTTGATGTTTAAGTAAAGACAGAGCAAAAGAATAAGTATTTAAGATTAAGTGTTTACCAAACCAGCCAATTTATGTCAATTAAGCTATGATGAAGCCAGAAAAAGAAATAGAAATTATAAAATACTGTATTGATAATGAGTGAACAAATAATCATGTGACTGTTCCAGCTCTTATGAGATCAAAACGGTGATCTTTACATTGAAGTATATTCACCTTAACCATGGTTTTATTTGATTATATTCATTAATTACTACGTGGTGTTTTGTCTTTGCTACCTTTTGCAAATAAAAAGAAAATAGCAACTGCCTCTCTGTATTGTAATAAATAAATTCTCATCCATGCTCTTTTTCTGATGGTCAGGTTGTGCTCTTTTAGGCTGAGCACGCCTTCTGCCTCTATTTTCCCCATTCCAATTCTGTTGTAGAAGAACTGTTCACATACACAAGAGTCATTCAGAAATAAATACAGCCATTCTGCCTTTTACTTGTGCAACAGCCAATGCATTCTTTCACAAGTCTGGGTAATTATCCACAGAGATAATTATCCACAGAGAGAATTAAAAGTGTCAACATTCTTGAGATTGGTTACACATTTATCTTCACTAGTAATTTCTTCCTGTCTCCAGACTGATATTCCCCAGAAAGAGTACCTACAGGGTGTTCATAACCCAAGCGCATACACCAATTCCTTCATAACCCCTATCTTCTTACTGGCCATTCATTTTTGCTGGTTTGTTTTTGACTTAGGGCCTATAATAAAGATACCGAATCACACTACATGCAGGCTGTCACATATTGAAACCAGAAAAGATAACTCCATTAAGAGATTCAGCTGAACACCAAGGTGGCAATTCCACATTGTAAACATAATGCTCTATACCTTACTGCACTTTTCCACTGTTTCAAATTCCAGAGTTATTTTCTTACTCTGTTTTTCAACTTCATTTTCTTCTGTTGCTTTTAGAAGTCCTGCTTCCTCAAAAATCTCTTTCAGAATTTTTTTGTAACCCTAGAAAAGAAAGTTTCCAAAAGGTGACAGATCAATCTATTCAACTCTCATCTCTGCTTGCAGTTTGCACTGGCCATTCCGTGTCCTCCAGCTTCATTACCGTTTCATATAGCAGTTACAGAACACAAAAATTCCTATTTGCATACTGCAGAATAAATAAAGGAGAAACTACATACAGAAGCCAGGTTTGGCTATTTGACAGTAATATTTTTTTTTACCACATAGAGTTGGAAGAATCAATAAACCTGGTCGGTTATTAGTTCATCGTACAGTAGCTGCTCTGCTTCGTCCCACTTCCTCTGCAGTGCTTCAGTCAGAGTTGGATAAACTGAAAAATGGAAGTCAAACCACATAAGAACCAGGAGCACTATCCTGCATTAGTTAATTCCTCCTCTAGTATCACGCAAGAATATTAAAGAACTCAATGTTTCTTTACAGTACACAGTCTCCACTGCTTTCAAGAGCTGGGCTTACGCTTAAATTGCACTTCACGCATTTAAAGTTTCTGGAGAATGACCAGAAATTTTTCTTATTTCCAGATCCAGGGACTAATATTCCTTTGGTCAACGTAATTCTAATGGAGCTTTTTTGTAATTTAAGTAAATTGGCAGATACTACAGAGCTTATTCCTACAGTCCAAGAAAAGGAAAGGAAAAATAAAAGTAATTCACTGGGTCTACACTAACAATGACAAAAAAAAAAATTTAATCCCCAAAAAAAAAATTAGTTGAGAAATACCTAGGTGTTATAATGACTGGCATTTTAAAAATCACTTCATATAATATGTTAACATTTAATACTAATTTATACTAAGGTACTAACTCAACCTAAAAATGGACACTCTGAAGACAGTGTATATGCTAGCTATTCCACAAAGAATTTTTTTTTAAATTTTACCTAAAAGTGAGTGAGGATGGCACACGAGAGGAGTCTCAAATGTCAGAGAGTAAACACAAGTACTTGGCTCAGACACATAAGCCAATTTATTGCTCTTTCCACAAGCAAGATGAACCTAAACATCAGGAAAAACAAAGATGAGCAAAAAATGTCTACATGAAACACCATCGCTGATCTATTTGCTGTGTTCCAATGCTAGTAGATGCATTTCTGTACATATTGTCATGTCAAAGCTTCCAGCGCCTTTTTAAATTAAAAAAAAAAAAAAAAGAAAAAGCATCATAGCAAGCACATAATCCATTTATTTTATCAAATGTGAAAACTGTTTTGTCTAATGGGAAATGGTTCTCCCCACCAACCATTGTTCCTTGGACTACTAAGTACTATATTTTCAGCAGAATGAGAGTAAAAAGGACAGTGAATAGGACACCTTAAGAATCTCGTTTAACATAAGCACAATCTTCTTAAATTTTATTTTTGACCAGTGTGCTAATTTCAGAATATAAGACACATCCAGACTGCAGAGAATTGTTTTCATCTTTAGATTTGCAGCACCAACATTTTTTGTCTTCAAAAGGAAATGCCAGTGAAAAATTCAATCACAATATCAAAGGTCATACAAGAATATGAATTCTTTCTGCAGTTTCTATGGGAAATAAAGATGTTAAGCAGGCACCTCCACTAGAGTATAACATTTTCACCATGGCCAGGATATGGCAGCCAAGTTGGCAGCAAATTGCAAGAAATTCAACAAGGTGAAGTGCTGGGTAATGCACTTCGATCATAACAACCCCGTGCGCTGCTCCAGGCTTGGGCAAGAATAGCTGGAAAGCTGCCTGGTGGAAAAAGACGTGGGAATGCTGGTTGAAAGGTGCTACTCATCAGACTTGTGCTCCAGACCCTTCCACAGCTCCAGTGCCTTTCTCTAGACATGCTCCATCACCTCAAAGTCTTTCTTGAAATGTCCCTAGTGCTTGTTCTAACACCATAGCTTCTCAGCATGCTACTGTTAACTGCCGAATTCTTTTCCCTCCTTTTTCCTGGATGTTTTTAATAGGCTGGCATCTTGAATTGTGCAAAGAGCTCTTTCTCTTTATTTTGCCTGACACACATTAAAAAGCACTGTACTGTATTTCTAAGGTAATAATTATACAACTCTTTCAAGGAAAAAATGAGTTGTAAGTAACCAATGAGAATACATAGGTAAATATCCTCAAAATTTTATCCTGATTCTAGCTTTCCTCCTCCAGTCATTCACACAGTCACTGAAGGAATTCATCTTTATGTTTTCTATCACAGCTTAAATGATGACTTCTTCAGTGTAGGAATGTTTCAGTTTGTAGTCTCACAAGTGTTTGCAGAGTCATGCTGTCTGAATTAGCATAGTTTAAGTTATTTTACCTTTGTCTGTCTGCTCTTAGTTTCACAGGAGTCTCCTTCCCTCATCCACATTCCAACAAATGTGTTATTGTCAATTTCCCATTCATGCCAGATTCTGAAAAAAGAGGACACTAATTTGTTTTAAGTTACTGGACAGAAAAAGATGAACCCTCAGGAAGAAAACCAAGAATACCCTTATACCATGTTCAATTTAAGTGTATATACTTAATTTCTGTTGTCTCAGGATTTCCACTTCCTACAGCCAACACCTTGTAAGCCGTGTAGTTTGTTATCCATGTAGCTATATAGGACACATCAAGAGCACTTTTTGAGAGCACAGTTTTGGATCCAATTTCAGTTTGGAAACCATTTGCAGTTAGAAATCTGTGTTTAAGTCTAGTAAAATAAAGTTTATAGATCAATCCCACAACGAAGTCCATGAGGCTAAGTACCCTGTGCAACTCAGTTTGATTGCAGGATTTTTAGTGCTGATGAGAGCACCTACAAACGCTAGTCTACTTCTGCTAGTCCTAAAGCAAATGATACCCTCAGCATGGTGATGTACAGTTTCCTCACATACCCGCTTACTGTTTTGCACAAAGGAGAAAAAGAGATATCTATATTCAAAATACCTAGAAAAGCAATGGTCTGGTTTATACTAAGATTTATTTTAGGTATTATGATTTGGTGGTATTATGATCCAGGGTATTTTTAAATACTTTGGGATACTTTTTTTTGGTTATACATTGAGCATTTTATAACTTTTTATATTGTTTAACTACCATTAGGCATAAAGCACTCCTTTTCATTTTGTAATATTTGTACTTAACCCAAACTGCAAATAGTTAATGGCCATGAAATCTGTGTTAATATAAGCTGTAGTTAGACATTATTGAATTTTTCACATGAACATATCCCACTTGCAGTTGGCAGGGGTTATTAATCAGTCTCCAGCAAAAATAGGAGGTTAGTATTTATCAACTAAAAAAAAAAACCCTGAATTTTTCAAGACAGGGTATATTTAAGTATAGTGCATTGGGAACTACCATGATCTAAACTGACCAATGCAAGAATCTTAGTTTTAAAACAGCCTCATTTTTACAATCTATGAAGTGGCCTGCTGACAACATAGCTAAAACATAAAAAGTCTAAGTGCCTCACCCTAAAATCCCACTATACGCATTCCATCGAAAAGTTTGCTCATGCTGAGTGACATTATGGAAAGGACAAAACTCATACTTGTACCTTAAAAGGAGAGAAAAGAAACAGAAAATAAGAAATGCTTCAGATTGGAATAAATAATAGTTTATTCCCAGTAAGTATATAAACAAATATCCAAATCCATTACTCACGTGGATTCCACAAAACTGAAACACTTGCCAGCAAGCCTAAAGAGATGTGCAGGGCCTAAAAACATCACAAGAGATGACATAAAGGAAAAAGAATGTTTTGGTTAAATTTAAGCAAGCTACTGTGGTGACAAAATTGTGAGGACTACGTGACAAATTAATTTTCTGCTGTACATAAGGAAATTTTTATCTTTCATATGAATTACTGTAAGTTCTCACTAGCACGATACTGTATTGCATCACGTTCTTTAATGCTGTTCATTCTCACTACCCAGTGAAATAGATAAGCTTAATTTGACAACAAAAATGAGAAACCTGTGTAAAAATAAAACATTTGGAGGTGAGGTCCATAAAAGAAGTCATCAGTGCAGATCTTGCCAAAATCTAATGTTGAAATCACTGAAACTCTTGCTTGGCATCTGTCTCCAAATTCATCCAAACTCTGAAAGTTTATACTAGCAAAGCTCATTTGGTCAAAATGTTGACAGTGCTCCATATTAAAGTTTCACTGAGATTCTCAAACTGGATTTTTTTTTTCCATTTGCCTTCATGGTCTGATCCAGGTAACATTCAACAAGATAAAACTTCTGCCGTCAGACAGGTCAGCAGATGCAATTCTGTTCTTTTTGTATTGACTACAAGGCTTGTTGCCAAGGAAATCTAAGACTGGAAACTTGTCGTTAAAAAGAGGGAGAAAAGTTCTGAACTACGTGCTAGAGAAGTACTTCAGTATCTCTCGTATGTGGAAATTTACCTTGGAATTACTAAATATTAATAAGGAAAGAAGAAAAGAAATAACAAAGCAAATAAAGTAAAACCCCATCCTGGACGCTAATTCCCCACTGTCAGGATTACTGTAGGTACTTTTTCCAAGAATCTAGACAATCAATCGTACAAACAAAGAAAAGACTACCAGAGACACGCCCTCCAGAATGCTTTAACTACTGGGATACAGGGATATTGGGATACAGGCTGGTCCTCTTTCCCAAGTATTCTTCTGACTGCATGATCTTGCGTTTCATTCTAGAGATGGGCTTGGCCAAAGGGTTTGCTCCTCTACTACATGAAATCTGTGCCTCAGTGATTAGCATGCTCTCCCCGCAAATGAAAAACAGCAGATGTGAATGTGTCCGTAAGGAATGCATTAAACTCATGTCTCCCTTTCCAGGGCAGATGCTGTAGAAGAGAAACTACCAGAATTATTACCCCAACTGTTTTGTAGAAGAAAAGAAAAAGGATGGTTTCCATGCTAAAGAAATAATCGTGCAAGACAGGGTTCCATGCACACTCCCAATTTTTGGCTACATGTAAGATCCCACAACAAAGAAAGAAGGATTTCTGGTGCACTGTCCTTTTTTCCTACTACTTTTGGCATGTTACCATTCAGCATTCTATTACTAATCCCATTTCTAACTATATCACATTTCACATGCAGTACATGCAGAATTATACACTTGAGTTTATAAAATGTGACAAGAAACATTAAGCATAATCACATTCAATGTCGTCATACCAAAATGCCTTTCTTGAATCTCAACAAGGTTTAAATTTCTGCCTAAGGTTAGCAGAGAGACAAGAATTACTCCCTTTTGCTTAGTCTTTGCCTTCAGTGTTTATCTGCTCTCCTCTAGAGATGGCCTAGAATTTCGTACATTCCTGTCCATTTTGCTTAAGGGGTGCATTTATGTTGCAACACGGAGGCTGCATATGAAACTCTGCATATGAGCCACTCTGACTGGTTCCAAGACTACTCTTAGGACTTCTTTTCTAAAACTATTTTTGGATAGTAAGTACTACCAGACCACAGGATGACTTTTATATGATAATCTCAATGACGTTGAGGATTGTGTCAAGAAAAAAAGAGTGTGTACTATGGGTCAAAAGGATCTGTTACAGGCTAGAAAAACACAGAATAAAACGTATGCACAGTCCCATCACAAAAAAAATATTAACAGCATCGAGACCTGGAACCACCAGTGAAGTTAATATACATTTTAATCCTTCAGGAGCACAATGAAATATATTTGCCCGTGCTTAATTTCCATGATGCTTAAAGAACTACACGCGAAATTCGGTTTTCTATACATAAAGTCGAAACAGACTACTTGCACTGCAAACAACTGTTGCTAAATAATGAAAACGGCACCAAAAAAAAAAAAAAAAAAGGTAACGGTTGCATATACCTGATACTGCAGACGGGGACATCTTTGGCTGCAGCCTATTTGTTTGAGGCAAGAATGGGTTATTCAACCTTTCAAAAGAAGGAAAGTTAAACGTTTAAGGCTGAGTTGTGCATCTGGGCGTCCATACATCCTCCCCTACCTGTGTGTCTCAACACCGACGGCCGCTGCCCGCGGGACAACAG